AAGATTCTATAAATGGAAATGGGTATAAGAGGTTTAGAGAGAGAGAGAGAATAGAGAAAAGATGTAAGGGGTTTAAAGGTGAGTGTTGTGAGAAGAGGGGAGAGTATATGTAATTCCCGATTGTATACGTGTAGCCTAAAAAAGATGATGAGTGAGTGAGTGGGGTTTTGACATGTGGTTGTATATTTTCTTCCTTGATTCATAATAGTGAAATATCTCTCTCTCCCATGGACGTAACACTAGAGTTGGGTGAACCATGTAAAATATTGTGTTATGCGTTGATGTATGTGATTGTTATCTCCATATATGCTTGTGTTGATGTGATATAATGATGCTTCTGCTGTGTGTGATGAAAGAGGGATTTAACTCTCAATAACAGTCAACCGTTGAGTGGGTTGGAGGGAGTTAATTATCCCCAACATAGTGGTGGTTCACTGGAATTTGTTGCCGGAGTGGATGGTGGTGATGGTGGTGGTGGTGGTGGAAGAATTTTGGAGATGAGGGAAACGTTGTGATTCATCGCTTATCATATGTACAAATGTTTAATTTTGTGGATTTGTTGAATATTTAGTGTATGCCCAAATTAGATTGTACATAAAGTACAAAAACGTGTATGCTATATTTGGAGTTCACGAGTTGGAGTAATGATACCCAGTGAATATATGTCTACATGTTCTTATTCTGGGTTTATAATTAATTTTGTGGATCTGTTGAATATTTGGTGTATGCCCAAATTGATGGTGGTGGTCGAGGTGTGGCAGCAGTGGTTTTGAAGATGGAAAGCAAGGTTTTTTGCGTCTCATCACTGTTATGGTAGTGGCTCGTCGAATTTAATGCCGGAGAGAATGGTGGTGCTGATACAAAGAGAGAAAATAGGGTCATTCCCATGTTGACGCAAACAATGGACTCTTGCGTCTTCTTGGTCTGCGATGGTAGTGGTGGTTCGCCGGAGAGGATGGTGGTGGTAGTGGTCTTTTTGGTTACTTGGCAGGTGGTATGGTTTTCAAGGTGGGGGACTGGTGGGTGGTGTGGTTCTTTGCTGGAGCGGGAGAGGAGAATGGTGGTGGTGGTGGTTGTTTATGATTTTAAGGAAGGGGTAATTTAAATTATTGGTGAGGGGTAATTTGGACTTAAAATATATTGGAGTTTGTCAAATATGAAATTATTTGTGTAAAATTGTCACAAACACAAAATTAAAGACAACTTTAAGATTATTGTCTTTTTATAAAATGAAGGGTAATATGGTCATTATAAAAAAAGGTAATATAGTCATATTAAAAATAAGGATTCTGGGCTGTCATCGTCAAAGAAAATATTTGTATAGAGGGTTTATTAAACTATTGCATATTTACATATGGATAAAATGTATAAAACTTCCCTGAACTATTAACTAACTTGCAACAAATCTCCTTAAACTACAAAAATTTTCAAAAAAACCCTTTTGTACTAAACATTTTTTTACAATTTGCCCCATTCAGCAATGTGCCGGTTGAAAATTGTCGTAAAAAAATCATATGCAGTCACTTGACACACTTTTTGAATTTATATGACCATAATGCCCTTATGAATATGAAAGGCCAATAATGCCCTTTTTGCTACCATGAGATCCAAACACCACCCATACAGCCAAACCCATTATAACTTGCTCACACCCCCAAACACTACATTGTCATCTCACACATTCTTAATGTCTATATATAAATTACACACATATATCGTCTTCCTTCACCGAATGTCTCTCACTATATATACATATTTACATCCATCCATCCTATTGTGTAGTTCTTGGCGGTTAAAAAAAAAAAAAAAAAAAAAAAAAAAAAAAAAAAAAACTCTGCAACTTATCTTAAACCAATCTCCACCACACATATAGATCATTAAACCCAATCTTTGTTTCAATTTTTTTTAGCTTTCTAGAATGTTTTCTTCCTTGTGGGTTTAAGGAATCTTCTGATGTGGGTATAAGAGTGGCCCAAAATCTAGTTTTTTAACACAAAGGTGGATTTTTGGAGGATTTCTGGTAAATATAGGAACTGAGCTAAAGGTAGATTTTAGAGTTGGATTTTGAAAAGGAAAACCCACTTCATTAGGTCTCATAACGAGAATGAGTTGTGATGAAATTAGGCACTGAGAGAGATGAATGATAAAATGTAAAAAACTTTCCTAAACTATTGACTCACTTGTAACAAACCCCCTTAAACTACAAAATTTTTTTAAAAAAACCCTGTTGAACTAAACATTTTTTGCAATTTGCCTCATTCGGCAATGTGCCGGTTGAAAATTTGTCATAAAAAAATCACATGCAGTCACTTGACACACTTTTTGAATTTATATGACCATAGTGCCCTTATGAATATGAAAGGCCAATAATGCCCTTTTTGCTACCATGAGATCCAAACACCACCCATACACCCAACCCATTATAACTCGCTCACACCCCCAAACACTACATTGTCGTCTCACATACTCTTACTGTCTATATATAAATTACACACATATATCGTCTTTCCTCACCGAACGTCTCTCACTATATATACATATTTATATCCATCCATCCATCCATCCATCCTCTTATGTAGTTCTTCGTGATTAAAAAAAAAAAAAAAAAAAAAACTCTGCAACTTATCTTAAACCAATCTCCACCGCACATATAGATCATGAAACCCAATCTTTGTTTCATATTTTTTTAGCTTTCCAGAATGTTTTCTTCTTTTGTGGGTTTAAGGTATCTTCTGATGTGGGTGTTGGGATTTATATGCCCTAACATAGCAAATTCCTATTTGGATTAAAGTGACATATGTTCTTAACATTTTTGAAATATTTATGTTTTATACAATTGGTGAATTCAATGTATTATATTTCGATTCATTATGGAATTGATAGTGTCTACTTAATCACAAAAGATATTTATATATGTATGTGATAACGATCAATACATGAATATAAATAATAATCATAAATAGTTCATAGTCGGTAATTATGGATGGACTCATTATTAATTAAGATTTGAATTGGATCCGCGTTAGGTTGAGATATATTGCGAGAGCCGTCGTATTCAATTGCTGCCTATCACTGTCATGGCATTTGACTCTTAAATATGAGAAAAATATAGACTCTTTTATTAATTAGTAATTATTTTGATTTGTTCGGCGGAATCTTCAAAATCTTTAGACCGGCACTTTGGGTAATTATGTAATTAATAATTAGAGGGTTATATTTTTAATATTTGCATTATTGCTACTTGTATTTATTTTGTATTGGTTATGGTTGATTACAAAGTAAATTCGAAGGCCTTTATATATTTTTAGACAAATTGATTTATTATGTATTTATTTATTTAAATTATTATTTTTGTCAAACAAATGTTTTATTGTGATCAAGCCGGAAATAATCAAAGGTACCAAAATAAATATATTAATTAAGTAGTCGGATTGATGGTTTTATTTATCCGATAACTAATTATGCATAGAGGGGTCAAAGTGCAACATTGACTTAGAGGTTATTTATTATTTAATTGGAGTTCAATTAATTTATTTTAGTGGAGTAGAAATTAATTTATGAATTAATTGAATTGAGTCCATGAATCGGGCCAATTATTAATTCAATGTAGCCAAGAAAATAATAAGCCCAAAGGATTATCACTCATAGCACAACTTGATATTGGAATCCTATTAAATTTGAAATATGTGAATTAGAGATTGAGAATGATTTATTATTTCTTTTCCTTATCTTTATGTTGTCTATATATATATATATATATATATATATATATATATATGGTTCATGTATATTTTATGAGAGACTTTTGGAAGAAATTTTTTTTTTTTTTCACTCTAGAATTTTAGGATTAGTGTTCTCATCTAATGGAAGCTCCCACAAGCTTAGTTTTTCAAGGTCATTCGTGGAGGCTATTCTTAAATACAAGATCATTACCAAGAAGATAGAGATCTAAGGACAAAATGATCTACAATAAGGGAGAACATTCACTTTATAGAAAGAGATTTAAGTTTTACTCAAACTTAATGTAAGTATTCAATTCCTTAATTGAATGATACATCAAACTTAATGTAAGTATTCAATTCCTTAATTAAATGATACATCATATTTTATTTTTGCAAAGAACTTGTCTATATATACATAAGCAATCAAGATTTATGTATGAAAATTCCGCAAATTATTTTTTTAAACTTGTAAGTTTCCCGATAGTGGGTATAAGAGTGGCCCAAAATCTAGTTTTTTTAACACAAAGGTGGATTTTTGGAGAATTTCTGTGATACTGAACCTGTGCTGATGACTGGTGTTGCAGGGCTTAACCGAAGTTGGCTTAACATCTTCTACAGCATCTCAATTTGTTTATTGCTGAAGGGTGCAGTTTCGGCTGTTGGTTGCTCATCTGTGGTGGGAACCGAGCTAACGGTAGATTTCAGAGTTGGATTTTGAGGGATTGTGGTGGTAAGTAATGGGCACAAGAGGAAAACCCACTTCATTAGGTCTCATAACGAGGATGAGTTGTGATGAAATTGGGCACCAGAGAGATGAATGAACCGGTATACCTAATTACCCATTGAAAAATAAATCCAGATGTTTTGACAGTGGCGACGCCCTCGACAACTTGATAACTCCATAATTCAATAAATACACGAATTGCTCCGGATTCGATTTTGCCTCATTCAATCCAAAATTTGATTGGGACGAATTGCTCATATGCCAGTAACTCTTGAATTGACGGCCATCACAACTTCGAGTAGTTCGGAGGAACAACCACCATCGAAGTCGCAGTCATTGAATGCTATATGGACTAAGAATTGTTGCTGGATAAAATGGTGTGGGCATAAAGTTTAGTGAGAGAGAATGGTGTGGGTGGCGTGTATATATAGAGCCTTCTCTTTATTACAACTTAAGTTAATAAAGCCTTGAAACCACGTCGTTTTTCTGACTTTCGATACCAGCTGGCGGGTAAACTGCAAAATAAAAAAAATAAAAAAATTAGTTCCGGGTTTCTTGTATTCAGTTTTTTTTTTTTTTTTTTTTTTTGAGAGGGGAAGAGGCATGCAATGGATGCTGCTGAAGCGACAGCGGTAGTGACGTCAATCTTCATATACCCGATCAAATCATGTCGTGGAATTTCTGTTTCTGTAGCGCCCCTTAGTTCCACTGGTAATTCATGACAGTAATTCATGATATGTTATGTTAGGGTTTTTATTATTTATTATTTGTTAATGCTTAAAATTGTACCTTTCTAGTTCTCCTGCTGTTGTTGCCGATGATAATCTTGTTTAACAATTGCAAAATTGAGTAGCACCGTCAATATATAGACTATTATGGTTCTACATGCTGCAAGCAATTAATTAACTCAATTTCTACCATTATGCTTGTGCTTGAATATACAGGATTTCGATGGGATCGAGAGTGGTTAGTTGTTAATTCCAAAGGTAGGGCATACACTCAAAGAGTCGAGCCAAAGCTTGCTCTAGTTGAAGTGGAGCTGCCGATTCAAGCTTTTGCTGAGGGTTGGGAGCCTACTAAGACCTCATATTTAGGTAAAAAAAACATCATTCTCGTATAAATTTCCACCTCTTTTTTTTTTTTTTTTCAAAATTTTGTTGTTATTTTTATTTTGCCTAAAAAAATATATAATATAGGGGCAAGTGCAAAAAAAACCCTATTAAATAATAAGTGCATATAAATCCTGTATTTTTAAAGTTCACCTTGATGGTTAATTTTGACTAATTTTTTTTATAAAAATCCCAAAACACCCTTAATATTAAACTTTCTTTCACACCCATTTAAATCTCACTATAAAAATACAAAATTGCCCTCACTCATATAATTATATTTTTACCTCACCACTGATATAAGTAACAAAAAATAAATAGAATTAAATATATCATATTATGTAATATTTAATATAACTATTCACCGCCATTACCATTACACAACCCACCTACCTCGCCATCTGTGAGGCCATACAATCTCGCCACAGCCACTACCACCAACCAGTCATACAAAAACAAGAAAGTGATTGATGGCTATGATATCAAAATTGGTCCTCAAATATAATCATGTGATTCTTTAAGGTAGTATGTGAGTGTGTATATTTATTTATTTATTTATTTTGCTAATTTGTTAGTTTTAGTGATATGCAAACTGAGATATACTGTGACCCATGAAATAGCCATTTTCTCATCCTTGCCCAATCCTTATCAATCAATATAGGATTGCCATATGATGACTTGAACATGCCCTCAGCCAGCCAAAGTAGTTGTCACCACCTTTATTTATTTATTTATTTATTTTTGATAAGTAAAATGTATTAGAAAGCGTTCAAGAGGGGAACGCATCCCAAGAATTGTTCAAAAACCAAGAACAAAATAAAGAAAGCCTAAGGATCCAAAAATCCCAAAAAGTCCAGAAGCTCCTCAACAGAGGAACAATCTCTCCCCGTACCCCAACAAAAAAGAGAACAAATAATAGAATACTTAAGAGCCCCAATGGATAACTCCTCCCCAATAAAGGATCTTCTATTGCGTTCTTTCCAGAGACACCACCAAATGCAAAGGGGAGTCGCCCTCCAGAAATCGCGAACTCGAGCCTCCACCCTTTGTCCCCTCCAGATATCAATAAGACCCCGTGAAGTCCGAGGCATAACCCATTGAACGCCAAAAAGACCCAACATAAGACTCCAACAGTCATGGGCCACTGCGCAGTGCAAGAGAAGGTGATCCACAGACTCTCTATCGGTCTTATACAGACAACACCGATTAACAATGACATGTCTCCTCTTCCTCAAATTGTTAAGAGTTAGGATCTTGCCCCAAGCAGCAGTCCAAGCCAAAAAAACCACCCTAAGAGGAGCCTTCGAATGCCAAACCGTCTTCCATGGATAAGAGGGGGTCTGAAAACCAGACAGACAAAAGAAGAAAGACCGGACCTGAAAAGTCCCCTGCGAAAAAGGCACCCAAGTCAAAAGGTCCGCCCCAGTACCAGCCACCTCCTGTCGATACAAAAGGTCCAAAAAGGCAGTGACATCATCCAGCTCCCAATCTTGAAAAGCTTACCGGAACCGAACATCCCATGAAAACCTACCGCTATCAAGGCTATAGCAGTCGGCAACCAAAGCATGGCAATCCACAGCAATCTTGAACAACGTTGGAAACTGACGACACAATGGACGCTCCTCGCACCAAGGATCCTCCCAAAACCAGACACTCTGACCTTCCCAGACTTTGAATCTAATATGCTTAGAAAACTCATCCCAACCCTTCCCAATGGATTGCCACACACCCACACCAATAGCCGATCTAGCCTGTCGAGCAGGCCAACCCCCTCTATCCTCCCCAATCCTACAAGCAACGATCTTCATCCAAAGTCTATGTCTTTCACTGCCAAACCTCCAAAGCCATTTACCAAGAAGGGCCTTGTTGAAGGGGGGCAACCTCCGAATCCCAAGGCCTCCTGACTTGAGAGGCTTACAGACCTTCTCCCACCGAACAAGATGATACTTAAACTCCTCCCCCCTACCGCCCCAAAGAAAATTACGTTGAATCATCTCAAGTCTCCTAACAACAGAGGAGGGAATCTGGAACAGAGAAAGGAAATAAGTTGGGAGGTTGGACAGGACACTCTTCACCAGCGTAACTTTTCCTCCCTTCGAAAGATATTGTTTTTTCCATCCAGCCAGCCTTCTCTCGAAGCGCTCAACAACCGGGTACCAACAACCCACCCTTCTTGAGGAGACCCTCAAGGGCAAACCCAGATAAGAAATAGGGAAGGAACTCGTCTTATATCCATGGACAGCTGCCAAGGAGTTCACCTCCTGAACCTCCCCCACAGGAACAAGCACACTTTTTCCCACGTTAATTCTCAAACCAGAAACAGCCTGAAAACAAACCAGGATACATCTCAGGTAATGCAATTGTGACTCCTTTGCCTCACAAAAAACCAACGTATCATCCGCAAACAACAAATGAGAAATCTCTAATTGATGAACTGCCTCATGACCAATCTTGAAGCCTCGAATAAGCCCCAAGGAAACAACCCTCCTCATCAGCCTGCTAAGAGCCTCCATAACAATAATAAACAAGAAGGGGGAGAGGAGGTCCCCTTGCCTCAAACCACGAGAGCTGCCAAAAAACCTGAAAGGGGAGCCATTAACCAGCATCGAAAATCTGACAGACGAAACACAAGTAACAATCCAATTCCTCCATCTCTCACTGAAACCATCCTTTCAAGCACATAGAACAAAAAGTTCCAGCAAACATGATCATAGGCTTTCTCGATGTCCAACTTACATAGAACTCCAGGAGCACCGCTACGAAGCCTAAAATCCACACATTCACTGGCAATGAGAACGGAATCCAGATTTTGTCTGCCCAATAAACGCATTTTGAGCCTCTGAAATGACTCCGTCTAAAACCCCCCTCAATCTTGAGGCCAAGACCTTGGCAATGAGCTTATACAAACACCCAATCAAGCTGATAGATCAAAAGTCCTTAATATCAGAAGCTCCACCCTTTTTAGGAATCAAAGCAATAAAAGAAGCATTCAGCGACTTTTCGAACTTTCCAGTGGCATGAAACTCATGAAAAGTGACCATAATCTCCTGTCTAACCACCTCCCAGCTTTCCAGGAGAAAACTCATAGTGAAGCCATCCGGGCCTAGAGCTTTACTGCCATTGCAACTTTTCAAAGCCTCTAGGACCTCCTCCTCCGTAAAGGATCTCTCCAACCCATCCCTATCCTCTACTGAAATAGAGTCAAAATGAAGCCCATCAAGCCTTGGCCTCCAGCGAAGAGGCTCAGTATATAGCCTCTGATAAAAAGAACAATGCTCCATGGTGTTGTGCTTAATAGCTTACTTAGATCCAGAGAATTTAAACTTCTAGAGTGCACACTTCAGTTTTGGGTCTTCCTATCATACAACATATAAGTTGCAGGTATAGTTGATTGAGTTAATCATATGCAAATGGCCTGTACTTCTTGATCATCGTCATTACTGCCGGATGAAGATCGATGCCTCTAATCTTGCTGCGGTGACGAGGACCAACGACTCTGCAACGAAAATTCTACCAAAGCACCACCACCATGAAAAATTCTACCCCCATTCCGCCATCACCAATACACCACCACCAACCCGGCCGCCATCGCTGCCACTACAGTCACACCACCACCACTACTCCTATCTCTCTAACACCCAAATAGACCAATTGATAATGAATGTGCATAATAAAACGTCATCAAACCACATAAGAAGATGAAAAATCATGTATTAGAACAAAATTGAGAAAGATAGGCAAAGCTTAGAAGAAATTTCGCTGATTAAATTATTTTACAAATCAAATTTAACCCAATATTCAAGTATGTGGGTGTGTGTGTGTATATATATATATATATAAATGTATAAAAATATACACACGTAACCCAACTCATCCAATTTTGCATTTTATTTTATTTTGGTTAAAGCTTTTACAATGAATTGAAGGCACCATCGTTGAGCAGAGCACCAAGATCAATCTCAACCACGACCCCAATTTACCATTCTTGATTTGAATCTTACAAACCCTAATCCAACCTGAAAACCTTCGACATTGGAGAGCTAAAAGAGAAAGGGTGGAAGTGGTGGGGACCGATGGGAGGAAAGAGAGGTGGTGGCTATGGTGGGTGGAGAGAGAGAGAGAGATGGGGGTGTGTGTGTAGGGAGAGAGAGGGAAATGGATGGGATTTACTTGGGTATCTTTTGGTAATTTCAGGATTAAAAAGCTATTATAAAATAAGAGATGATGCTATTCTATATATAAATAGTATACTATAAGGGTATTTTAGTCATTTCAATGTTCAATTAATCCCAAATTGTTGATTTGTCCTTATTTGCACAAAATGAAAAATGTAGGGGAGTTTTTTGAACAATAGGGGGGTATTTGCACATTTTGTATATAAGGAGGGTGTTTTTTGCACTTAACCCTATAATATATATATATATATATATATATATATATATATATATATATATTGGTAGGTGTTAGCATATATGATAGCCACGATTTATGAAATGACTTACCATATTAGCAGATATTTTTTTTTTTTTTGATAAGTAAGATTTTATAAAAAACGCTCTAAAAAGGGGAGCGAAACCCAACGGAACAAAAGGAACAAAAGGGCCAAAGGGCTCCTTAGACCTTCAGAGAGGCCAAAAAAACAATAATATCCTCCATAGATCTATAATCTCTCCCTGAAACTCAACAAAAAATAGTAGAAATAACAGAGAACTTAAGCAAAGAAACAGGCTTCTTTTTCCCGTCAAAATATCTCCTATTTCCCTCAAGCCAAATACACCACCAGATACAAAGCGGCGTAGCCCTCCAAGCATCCCTAATGCCAGCCCCAACAGAGACGCCTCTCCAAGCCTTAATCAACCCTCTAGAGGAAAAGGGCATGGCCCAGTGGACCCCAAATAAACGAAGCATCAGATCCCAACAATCTCTGGCCATGTTGCAATGTAACAGGAGGTGATCAACAGTCTCCTCATTACACAAACACATGT